GTGTTTAATAATGTGTGTGTTCAGTAATGTGTGTGTTTAGTAATGTGTGTGTTTAATAATGTGTGTGTTCAGTAATGTGTGTGTTCAGTAATGTGTGTGTTCAGTAACATACGTCAGGTATGTTCCTCTCAGGTTGATTCCCAGCATCAGATCCACCTTCTTCATTGGCGTCTCTAGGGTTCCTGTCAGATTGATGGCGCTGGCGTTGTTCACCAGGATGTCGATACCTGCCAATCAAATAAAGGCACTGTGATGATGGCGCTGTAGTGATGTCACCACCGTGATGATGTCACACCTGAGAGTGTAAAGTCCAGTACCTCCGAACGTGTCCACAGCTTTCTGAACAGCGTCTCCCACCTGCTTCTCATCACGGATGTCAACTACACAGGGTAACGCTTTCCCCCCCGCTGCTTCCACTACACACACACACAAATACACAACACATGGCGTCGGTCAAAGGTTGGGTTGGTTTTTCTAAAGTTTATCTTTCCTCTAATTCCTCACAACTTTCATTTTTAAAAACATATCTCATCATCAGCTGCTCGCAGTTAGCATGTTAGCTCCTCACCTTCCTGAGCAGCTGTGTAGATGGTTCCTGGTAGTTTGGGGTGGGGCTCGGCCGTCTTGGCGGCAATAACGATGTTGGCTCCATCTCTGGCAGCTTTCAGCGCAATGGCTTTACCGATGCCTCGACTTGCTCCAGTGATGAAGAGCGTGCAGCCGGCTAACTTCCTGAAACACACCAGAATAAAACAACAGTTTACACAGCTGTGCTCAGCTTGGCTGACTCCACTGTTCCTGACATGTTCTGCAGGTTCTGCAGGTTCTGTATGTGAGAACAAATGTCAGTGTCAGTGTCTCTGGACATTTTCTGGAGCCCTCTGGTAAAATGTCAGAGTGAGTCCATGTGAGAAAACAGCAGGAAAATGTCTCAATGTGAAACTGGAAGAACACAAATATCTCAGGATGAAGACGTCGACTTGGAAAGACGAGGAGATTCCAGATCTCTTGGTGAGATTTGTCTACACAACATAAATGTTCAGTCAGTAAAGCTGATGAAGTGTTATGTGATGTAAAAATCCTCATTTCACCAGTTTCAGATGTTTGTATTCAGGAACAAAACGTGTTTAACATTAACTACAGACTCTTATCACATGAAACCCGGATTTTATATTATCACAGAAACAATGCGTGTGTGAATAAACCTGGCTTATTGTAAAGTTTATAATTCAGTTTATATCATAGCTGCTGCTGCATCATGACTTATGAAAAGACTCGTTTGCAGATCAGAACCAGTGAATCTCTTCTGTTTACTTCATCAGTCCATGTAAACTGAACTCTTCGTATCATAGACTGGATCATATCCAACACTCGAGGTAAAAGCAGCTCTTCACGACAGAACTGCTCAAAGGTCACAACTCAGAACTGAGCTGAACCCAAGTGAGCTCAGTTTCAATGAACCTCGGCTTCGTGTTTGTACCGACGATGTTTCCCGAGGTCGGAACCAACTCACCCTGTGTTCTGCAGCATCGTGGAAGGTTCCGGAGGAGAATCACACGCTGTCCGGTTCCCTGTGGATGAAGAATCTCAACACGTCTTCTTCACCTTTCACCCACTGACACAACCGGAAGTATGCCATGTCTTCACTTCCGGTCCGCACACAAAGCTCCACTCTGCTCCACAGGATGTCAACAAGAGAGAACTGAATGTAAATGTGATTAAGACAAATATT